GCCCCAGATATGGTCACAATTATCAAGCTTGGCTTACTTTTCATTTCTGATGAAAAAACTATAAATTTCCCTATCTCGCTTTAACATGTTAATTCATAAAGTTCGCAGCTATTTGAATTCAAATATTTTCATTCCGTTTTAAACGGCGAGTGGAAGGGATTCGTAAATTTGTCTCATTGGAGGCCGGATGAGAATCGCCTTGGAGTAATGACTCGATTTTTTCTAATAAATTATCGGCGCTCCGTCTCGATATCCCAATGCATTTAATCTGAGCCTTAGTTTGTCATTTAAGATATTTCGACTACGATGCTGACGAAACGTCTGAAAATGCACCAAGTTCACGGTCTGATGCTATGACTTATGACTTCGGACAAGTTGCGTCGCTATGGCCACAAGACCAAGTTGCGAATAAATAAATAGTAATTTATCCACTGATTGACCTTCACGCTCGAATCTTCCCTTATCTGTGCTCATATTGGCATTTCATATTGAAAAGCATCATCCTTAATCCCTTTATTTTTCCCCGCAGATGTAGTCGTAATAAGAGTTGGAGCAAAGTTTCAGTAGTTGATGTCATCGATTGCCTTATTTTTTCGTCAATTATAGTACATGATACCACTGTTAGATCATTTCTCCCAGATTTCCAGTCGTTTTTAATGTATTCGATTGACTAACTCGCAAGGATACTTTAACTAGGTTTTGCTTACAAGTGAGTTATTAGGTTACACTGGAACACTTCTGTATTTCTTATTCTCTGTTGATAATAAATAGTCCTTTTATTTCTTCTCCCTTCTATTAGGCTTATATCCCTGGGCAGGGTCCAGTATCGCAACCTATCCAGCCGCCTAGTGGATATCAATTTCAAAGTCGCAACGGACAGAGCTACAAAATTGTATACGTTGACGGCCGACCACGAAGACAAAAACTCAAGGGTGCTTTCCTTGGGGGTGCTGCCGGTAAGTGCAACTTACCATTATTTGTTATTTAAAAATTTAAATGTCTAACTTTGTAGCTATGATGGTCGAAGTCTCCTTTCGATTTATATAAGTGGGTTGACCTTGTCTTCACAACTTGGTCTTGTTGTCAGGTAGACTTAATTGAACGCACCTTCTCCGAAGTCATAATTCCCTGTATAAGACTGTGGACTTGGTACATTCTCAGAAGTTTCGCTGGCATCGTACCAAGTACACGGTCTGATGCTAGGAATTATGATAATTACTATGGCAGAAAACTTCGGGCAAGGGGTGTTTAAATAAGTCACTCTGACAACAAGACTAAGTTGCTAAAATGAGGTCAACCCACTTTGTATCCTACCTTCACAGCTTTTTTGTTCATTGTACTAAAGGCTTTTTTGATAAAGATACCTTTAAAATTGGATATTTTCATATAAATACGTCTTGAATGCACTACATTCTCTACTTCCACTCTGACTCAGTACACAGCCTGATTTAGCTTTTTGTCTTGTTATGATATCTGTTGCCATCCTTGCACGTATTTCAGTCGTAAATTTGATCTGCTTGATATATTCGACGCCTTCACTCGTGGTTAGTGCATGAAGAAAGTTTGACGTTGGCTCATGACATGAACTACATTATAGAGCATATTTTATCTTGCTAAGCTGTGACGTGTAACTACTTCAGAATCTTGTTGGGGCTGCTGATGACAAATATGCTGGGTAAACCCTGGATGAGGAAGCCTTTTGAGGTCCACCCATTTTGTATATAAAAAATTCAGTTATCTTAGCTTTTCCGTTTTTTTTAAATTTAATCTTTTATTCACCCATCATCTATACTCACTCATCTTCTTAAATGAAGTCAAATTATAATCGATTTGTCACCCTAACTGATTCATTCTTATATTTTGAACATTCTCTACTCAAAATAGGTTTGGCAGCCGGGCTAGCTGGTGGTTATCTGGCAAGTAATATGTTCCACGGTCCATCTTGGGGAGGCGGATGTGGAGGCGGATGGGGCCTCCATCGAGGTTGGGGAAGTTGGTCATCACTGTCTAGCTTCAGTTGGTCTGACTGACTGGTTCCCTTATTCTCTAGCTCTGGCCTACTTTTTCTCATACATTTACAGGAATCAACTCTTGAATAATCAAAGACTACTAGGGAATGCTTAATATGTGACTGCAGCGCTTTTGACGTTTTAAGGCCATGTGTGTCCCGCATGTCAGCTTTGCGCACACCTAAGTGTTATCATGCATAATTATTTGGCGACATTTTTAGAATTTACACATGCCCCAACATGTAAAGACATTGCCGTTTGTTTATCATCAAACTATTCTATTATTTTCCCTAATTAGTTAATAATTCTC